CGTTTCTTGTACCTCTCACCACTCCCAGACTAAGTGCCCTCTACCCTAGGAAGAGGGTCTTTGCTCAAGCACAAACTGTGTTACCAAACGTCTATAAAATAGTCAGGCTGTAGAAGCTACTATAAAAAGATGAAAGATTTACAGCTGCAGCAGGAGACATAATATGGTGGTGGTACATGAGAATGAAACCTCCGGGGATAAAAGGCAAGAACTTGTAAAATGGTCAAATGTGTTGTGGCACCCAGCAATTTAGGAGTAATTTTTCTAATCCGATATTCAGTTGAAATACCTTCAACCCATTCGGCAGTCTAATTCTTCAGCGCCTCATAGCAAATCTCCCGAATGCCAGGAGCATTATTCAGCACTCCTGCATCTAATTTGTTGCACTTCTTTGCTGTGGGATATTTAACAAAATAATGATGCATTAGGCATAATTAGAACGTGACTAAATTAATTTCTGTAATGCCGATTATACTGGATTACTGCGAAAGTAATTCGCACCTCTATGCTGTAGACCCAGTATTGCCCGTAAGCCAGCTCACAGTCCAAAATGTACATGGCACACAGAACACAATGAACAAGCACCAAAATTTGCAAAATCTTAACAGCATGCCTGTTAACAGCAGCAATTTGCCAAGTTTAATAATGGACTTTAAAGTAATGACATACTGTTATACTTGCACTAAATTTTATCATTAAATTCACAGCTCTTTCTTTTTGCACATAACCAGCTGTTTCATCCTGGAAGGCAACCAGCTTAGTCAACCATGATTTGCCCTCATGACTCTGCTTGTTGTTCATCATCTTGCCCTTTGTGTACTGCAGATGATTCCAAAAGCACATGCAGCGCATGCCACACGGCTGTCTTTGGGACTGAGAGGTTTGATCAACCGCCAGTTCCCTGGATCACTCACTTCACCTTTTTTAAAAACAGGCACAGTAGTCCCAGTCCAGTGGTCAGGGACCTCTGTGCTATTTTATGGGACAGCATTTGTGCCCAACTCCTGTGCAGGTTATAAGGTGAACACCAGAGCACCGCACTCTGAAGTCTCTCTAACCCATTGATCCCTCACTGTCGGCAGCTCCTCTCCTTCAGAAAGGATGCTGGTATGCACAGACAACGGAAGTAGGCTTTGCCTGTGGAGACTGAAGCAAACAAAAGCACCGTGGATGTCGGCCCTTTTCACAGGCACCAGCAGGATGTCATCCCCGCCATCAACATGAAGGGAGCTGCAGGGATTTCTGTACTGTTTATTCCAGCACCATGAATAAACCATCTCCATTAAGCACTGATGTAAGCACTGCTGAAACAGCTTACGTTTTAGTTTGATTTGGTTGAAATGGAATTCTTCAAAGAGAACTGGGCAGTCGTCCCTCATCCTTTCATCAACCCAAAGCTATGGGCAAATACAAAATTTAACCTCAATATGTGAGCAACAGCCAGCTGCACAACCCTGTGTGACCAAACCTTATGTTCAACAGAAAACACAACCTGAATGTAACTCTGAGAACACGTTTGCCTGGGCTTTAAACTTTGCCCCACATGACAGAAGGGGCATGCAGTCACAAAAAGCTGGTGACTTCACGGTTACAGATGTGCCAAAGAGATGCTAGCATTCCCAAGGCAGCAGGGAACACTGCTGGCTGGCTCTAAGAGGACTGTCATAGCCACCTTTTTTAATGGGCTAAGATTACAAAATCCTTTTGAGGCATGTGAATCCAAGTAACTCTCAGGGATAGTTTTGGTTGCCATCGGATGGGATAAATTCCTAAATTTACGTCTTATTCCAAGACCAGCATTGGGCAACTCAAGACAGTAAGTGCCAGATCTTCAGCTATGTAGCTGTAAGGCAACCAGCCACTTGGCTACAGGCTAACATAAGATGGAGGAATTCCCTGGACCTAATTTAAGCAGGCAAGTTCCTTTTTGTTTCTATAGCCTCTACAAACAGGCACTGAGGAAGGATTCTGCAAGTACGTGATTTCATTCTACCTTATTCTGTGGGTGATTCCAGATAACTGCCGATCACCAAGGTGGTCTGATCCTTCAGGGGGATGACCCTTAACACTGGCATACCCTAACGCTCACGGAGCCAGCACATCAGTCCTTTTAACACTGGAGAGCCAGGGCAAGAGAATGCACCTGCACTGAGCCGCACAGACTGCTTTGTGAACTAGCAGTACACACATCAGTGGAGAAACGGTATCTTCCAGACACTCCCACTAACCAGCAAAGCTCCCTGACGTGCAACAGAGCACCCGAGAGCTCACTCAACCCTTCTGGGCAACACGCAACAGCCAGGGTAGAAGGATCTTGGTTGTTTTCCTTCCCGCAATTTATGAGTGTTTCACAAAATGAAAAGCACAGGTGCTAAGGACATTTAACAACAGTATTTTATTCTCTGCAAAAACATACTGCAAACCCACCAAAAAAGTAAAGCAGACTCCTTGTGCTGACATCAAGTAAGGCACAGATTGGATTCCTCACCTCTAAAAGGGTAAATGATTTTTTTTGTAAAGATAAGAATTACTTGTTTGATGAAAAATTAAGATGCATTTTCATAACTGATGATGTGCTGAAGACTGACAAAATAATGTACCCACGGTCAGGAAAGAGCTGCTGACGTCAACAGTCAAAAGGTGAAACTACTCACACAGTGGCGGTCTTTAACCAACACTAAACTCCTTCAACACAGCCCATCAACAGCGTTCAAACATGCCAACAGATATTTCGGCTTTTTTGCTCCACAGACTGCAAATGAGTATCTTCCAGTTTCCCTACTCTGGGACGAGGACCACTTGCACGACTACAGTTTGCAGAGACTTGAGACCTTTCCTAACACTTTGAAACATACAAAGTGTTCAAGTGCTTTTAGTCAGTGGCCTGTGCTGGCTGCTGAACAACGTGTAAACATTTGCATCTGTTTACTCTCACTTCACATTGGCATGTTTTTCCTCATAATACCTCTATTTCTATCTGAAAGAGAAAGAAACTAACGGTGGCAGTAAAGGCTTCTTATGGCTCAGAGCAGAGCAACCTTCACTGTTCAGAGTCTGCATCCAACCAGCGACACATCCAGGGCACAAACAAAGAGTTTTGGTGTCAAAACAAACGTGAATACCACATCAGTCCGGAAGGCACAACACAGCCAACAGAAGGCAGTGGAAGTACTAAGACCTCACTTGACGGGGATGCTGCGTACAGGACCTGCTAAGAGGAGCAGCTGTGCTCAGAAGCCGAAAGAGCAGAGATCATCAGGGTGAAAACGGAGCACAGGAACACAGGCAGGCACAGGCAAGCGACAGACTTGAGACGAAGCTGGGAAGAGCGCTGCGACACACAGTGACACAGAAAATCGCTAACGGCAAGCTGCTGGTCAGAGCTGGCCTAAAACAGGCTTGGCATTGTGCAAGAATGGTAAAACCTTCAGTAGTTGTCACTCCTTGAAGAAAACCTGAGGTTAACCACAACTCTATCCCTTCATCCAGCCAGTGATCTTTCTCACACCCCAATGCGTATGCCATTACAATGCCAATGGGCTAGAGAGAGTTCTTAGGGGCAAAGCAAAGCCCAGTCTGTCAAATTCAACCGTAATGTGACTAATATCAACCAAATACTGTCGCTGATGTCTTGGGTAAAGGAATAATAGAGGAAGTAGCAGGTGAGACATCCACTTGCACCCACTAGCAAGCAGAAATTATTTAATTCTGAAGAAGTTATTAATGGCAAAGGGTTTTTTGATGTGAGGAAAATGGACAAAATAAAAGGCTGATACCAAGAAACAACCAGAGGTATTGGTGCGAGCCTGGAACCAACTTTAAGAACAGTCAAACACTCCTGAAATAGTTACAACTCAGAATGTTGAGAAGCCAAAAGAATAAAGGAGGTGGGGTATCACCAACATCTAAAGACAACTTTCTGAAGGAGATGATTGAAGTGCTCCAAATAGATTTAAAACACACCTGTGTGTGATATAAGAAACTGCATTAGCACATTTAATGAGATTATCCAGACTGCAAATACTATGTCAACAGTGTTACACATGAAGTGTTTGCAAAAATTAGCTTGCTAGTTCTGCTTTCAGAAGAATGGACTGTTTGCCAAAGAGTATGTCTTTTCTTCTCCTGATTACATCAAGTAGTCCAGAAAAAAAATAAAAAAAGAAAAAAGAGGAGGAAAAACCCCAACCTCTACAAATCTACAAGGCACGTAAACAAATCTTGTACATATGGATTTAAACACCAGTGCCCAAAACATTCTTGTATGACAGTGAAAAAATACATGTGCACACTCAGCAAATAACGTATCTCCACAAGAAGAAACCATTTTGCAACTGCCCTGGGGCTGAGAGGCAGTGAAGCACGAAGACGAGCGCACAAGTACTCTTTCTCACACTCATGGTGCAGGAGGGGCATACAGCATTAGAAGACAGCAGGTCTGCAGCGTACAAACAGAAATGCACTATTTCCCTTAGCATGTAATTAAGTTGTAGGTCCCATTACTACAGGATGTTGTGAAGGGCAAATGGGTTCTAAAAGAGATTAGAAGAACTCACAAACAGGTCTGTCACAGCATATTAAACACAACTGTTGGAATACAGCTGGGTTATGAAGTATCTCAATAGCTGTCTGCTGAAAGCTGGTGTGATGTGCTAAGAAAGTTAAATTGTATTCCTTTGCTTTAAACTAACATTAAGAAATAGTTAATAATTCAGACTTTTTGCTGTATTTTTGCTTAAACAATAATTGTTTATTATGAACAATAAATGTTTTGGTCTCCTGCACAGAAACTACATTCCCAGTTTTTTGGTTGGTGTTTTTTGGTAAGTCATTTCCTCATTCTGATTTACCTTTCTGGAGATGAAAGCATAAGGTAACTAGCTACATTACCTATACCCGTCCAACTGTTTGTTCATCGACAGCAAAAACTAACACAACATTAGTATTTATGCTGCACATATTAATCTTTGCTCTGATTGAAGTGAATAAAAATACTCAGTTATGCATGTTCTAAAAACACTTTGCATACAAAGATGTATAAAATGCAGGTTCAGAAGTCCCACTGTAATTCTTGGAATCCAGTATTTCTGGTAATAAATTGTACTGTTATTCTGAGGGGAATGTTGCGCAGACAAAACCCTTAAGTATTTTACAGCAAAGCACTTTTCACGTATGTTAACACACACAGACTCTGATTGAAGAGAGTCTGCAAATGAATCCAAGTTTCCTCGAGTTGTGTTGACAATCTGGATACTTCTTCCAATAGGTTTGGCTCTGATGAGAGAATCTTAAGATGCAACTGAAAACGCAAACAAGCGGTTAGTGAAACGAATACAGACAATAAAAAACTTAAAATACCAGTTTCCTCATTCAATTCCAATCTTTGTTTTTGGGAATGTCCCAAGAAAGGGAAGGACCCTTTTTCTTCAATTAATCCCCTCCAATTTAATGCTGCCTCCATTTTGCTATTTTTTTCCAAGCCATTTTACTCCCCTGTATGTATCAAGTGGGGTAAGGCAGCAAAATGCCTTCAACGGGTTATTGTGTTACTAGACCTTCTGCCGCTGCTGCTGAATCTATCCTCATCACACACTTCTCTAGAGGGAATTCTGTCCTCTTTCCAACCTGCATCACAGATTCCTCTTTAGGCTAGACAGGCTAAACAGATGCCCTGAGGCCAATCAGGATTATTATTTTAATTATCCATGTTACATAAAGCAAGAAGAACGATGCCAGCACACTCCATACTTCTACAGATGATGTCCCTCTATGTAATAAACAGTAACCTTGGAAAAGCATGAAGAAACCTCTCACTGTGGTAGAGAGGCCGTACATTATTCCCACTTCATGGATAGAAGTTATCTTCCCGTCTACAACTTAAATCTAGGAGCCTTGCTAAGCTCAGAGCTGTTTTACTTGGAACCTACAAAAGATACTGGTGCTCACGTGTCACAGGGTGAGTTTGCATTACTCTGCTGTAGTTCAGATCAGGAGTACATTTCTGAGGCAAATTACTTAACTCTCCCTAATCTACCCTGCAAAAGCTGAATTTCTTCTGTAGAAAACTAAACAGAAACGCGAATTCTAACATCTAATACTGCGGTCCAATATGGGACCAGACTAATAATAAAGAGACTTGATAAAAAGCCACTGGTGAAGACCACAACTCTTTGTGTTTCACTCTAGAGACCTACTCCTATTCATCTGCACTACTTGTTCTTGTGGGAGCTGCCCGATGCGTTCTATTTAATCCCAACAAAAGCAAAAGAGCAAGTGGTATTTATCCAGCATTATAGTCTATCTTGAAAACCAAGTCCTGCAATGTTAGTGCTACTGAGGAATATTTAGTTAAACAGAATTACATGTGTTGTTTATAAGCACTTTTTCCCTTGGAAACTGCAATTTAATTGCCTTCCCGCAGTTTCATAAATCAGAGTATCTTGACAAGGTAAGAAAATTTGTCTATTAGAAGGGTTCCAATCTTCTGCAGAACCACTCCTCTTCCGAGAGAAACTGCTACTGTATTTTATCACAATGACTTTCTAACTTACACACACACCTGGGAATAATTTCATCAGCTCTGTGATGCTTAACAGGTAACAGAAGGCAGCCCACGGACACAGAAGCTGAATGTCAAGCTTGCAATGGCTAGCGACAAGTCCAAAAAATGGCTGTTTTATTTCCTCAAACATTGTGCATTGAATTCTTTTCTTAAGATGTAGTATATCTGAGCTTTGCAATTAACAACCAGGTATGTTCCAAAAAATAAAAGCAATTCTAAGTAACCAGTACTAGAATAAAACGTCTGTCATGGTCCTCTTCACAATATCTAGTTTCTGCAAGTTTTTCTGGACTGTGACCAGATGAGTTGTCAAATTGTCCAATACACTCAGTTAGCCATTTTGAAAACATCCCCAGCAAAAAATCACATAAGATAATTCTTCTGAGCAGACAATTTACATACTTTCCCCGGACAACCATCATTTCAAACAGGACTAACATAAAATTTTGTAAGAAAATTGTTACCTTTAGAAATAGTGCAAGGTATGCCTGAGCAAGTTCAAAGTTGTACTTCTTGTTCAGCATCATCCCAATCATTCTCAAAAAGCTCAGCATCACCTCCATCGAGCCACCACCTTCAGGGGCCAAACCCCTCAGTTCTATCTCAATATTAGATGGTCCCAAGCTTTTCAGTAAGTTAAGCGGAGCTGCATCTGTGTTAAAGCATCGAGGGGTACATTATCAGTAACATCTGCAGAAAACAATCTTACAAATCTTTCGCATGGACAGGTTTATTCCAAACTTCTTAAGCAGTGACTGTATGTTTCAAGTTTCTACCTGTTTCCTTACTTTTGTTTTCCACAAAATGCCATCCTGCCTGTAATTTACCATTCTGTCACATACTACAGAGAAGTACATGGCTAGTAAGACAGTTGTATTTTATTTGTAAGTTCACCTTGAAAAATACAACTAGCATTCTTGTATGCCTTTCTTTCCCCCCATTTCTGATTTCTAAGCTGAACAAAATTTCCTATTAACCACCTAACATTGTCTTTTTACATCTCCTGGCAAAAAGAAGGTATACCTGGGACTTCAAGCTGTTACTGCAATGTATCCTAGAAAAGAGAGGGTACTACTTTTATTAGGAATCTTTAGTGTTTACTCTTACTGACATTAAGCTAAATCAAGGATCACTTGATGCATCAGAAGCAATTATTACTTTCTGTTAAGTGAATTCCTCCTGCTTTTCCTGGGACCTGGGGAGTGGTGGGATGGGGAAATCTTTCCCCTGGTATAAATACATGCAATTTACAAACTCTCTTCTCCTCTTCAGAAATGTTCTTCCTCATGATTTCTACAATTCCACCTGATCTTTGAGAATTCCATCCATTTGCTTTAAACATGCAGAAATAAAAATATGTATGGTTGCAAACATAGCTGTTGGTAAAAACATTTCAAAAAATGTCTCATAATTAGTATTTCTTTTACCAAGAAGTTACTAAGAGCAGCAACTTCTTACACGCTTCTATCAAGGTAACTAATAGTATCAGGCATTGGTTAATATTCTTTAGGTGGTATAAATCTGTTTCCACCTTTATTTTATTCCTACAAAAATCAGTAGCTGTTTTAAACGTAACTGTGATATTAACAGTTCTAAACAGATGCACTAACTCATTTTTGTGCTGTGACATGAAAAACACACTCATGGAACATACCTAGAAGTTGGTACACATGGAAAAGGTATCCAGCTCAATGCGTGTCCCACAGCCCTGGTCTGAGGTACAAAGCCCTGTCTCCATCCCAACAATAACAGCTTTTAGTATAATACTACTTATTTGCATAGTCTGGTCACCTTTAGGAGAGATGCTTGTAAACCAGCAAGCACAAAGCCAGGTTGCACACCAGCAACCAGGATCAACAGAGTCCCTGGACTGGGATTCCAGCACAGACCCTGGAGCACACCTGCCTTACAGCAGAGGTGGCCTGAGGGAGGCCCATGGCACCACGACTGCAGTGCGTCACAGAGTGCGCTCGGTCCCTGGTGCAGCCAGCTGCCTGGCCTTCCACTGATGTTTCGCTCTTTGAGAGGCTCTGAAGCGGTTTAAGACAATGTTATCAATTGCAATGCCAAAAATGCAGCATAAAAACACACCTTGTGTGTGACAGATTAAAATGTTTTGCACACAGCACATTTTCAGTGCAGCCGAATAAAGAGAGTTTAAGAAGGGGTAGAAAAATTCCCAGCAGAACTGCCTTGTGGACAAGCTACCAGTGACCATCCATTCATATTTCCAGCCACTATATTAGCAATGATCTCCAAAAACCTAAATTTCAATAATTCTGAAGCAGCACATCTTAAACAGGGAAAACAGCAGGTACATGCCACAGGCAATTTAAGTGACTGAATTTCAAAATTAACTGAATGTTAAAAAAATTCAACAGCTTATTTTTTATATCAATTATTTCTCCTTAAGCTTTAAATTATAAAGCAACCCATTACAGCTGTAAGTTTTCTGAATGTTTAGTGAAGTAGGCCTTGAAAATAGAACTTTCTAGGCAAATTCTGGGTTCTAATTTGAGAAATCGACTGGTTGGACAAAGTATCGAGCAGTGGGAGGAAGTCCAGAGGGGAGCCACAAAGGATGCTCCGAGGGCTGGAGCCCCTCTGCTATGGGGACAGGCTGAGAGAGTTGGGCTTGTTCAGCCTGGAGAAGAGAAGGCTCCGAGGAGACCTTATAGCACCTTCCAGTACCTGAAGGGGCTACAAGGAAGCTGGGGGGGACTTTTTACAAGGGCCTGTAGTGACAGGACAAGGGGTAACGGGTTGAAACTGAACGTGGGGAGATTTAGAGTGGATAACAGCAAAAAATTCTTCACGGAGAGGGTGGTGAGGCACTGGAACAGGTCACCCAGAGAAGCTGTGGATGCCCCATCCCTGGAAGTGTCCAAGGCCAGGCTGGATGAGGCTTTGAGCAACCTGGTCTAGTGGAAGGTGTCCCTGCCCATAGCAGGGGGGTTGGAACTAGATGGTCTTTAAGGTCCCTCCCAACACAAAACATTCTGTGATTCTATGAAATGTTTTTCAAGTTTCAGTGAACCATCAGGCTATTCCTTACCAGATCATTCACTTCCTTTCTTGCCCTACAAACAATACAAAGCACCTTTTCTGGGCAAGATCACCACAATCTCCAAAAAAGTCTAACAGTCTTAGGAACGTTACTTTCTTTGTCTTTATGGGTTTTAGGCAGAACTGGAGTCCGTGATGCAGGCAAGCTTGGAGCACCAAGGGATCTTTGATCTAGACTGGCTATATTAGTCAGTTTTATATACAACAGGTCATTCTCTTTGCCTTTGCTACTCTACTATGCATATTTTTTTCCTCACACATTACAATTCTGGCATTAGAAATCAAACGTCTATCAAAATATTACTAGCACCTACATTTTTAGTGAAATGTCTTGTTCACTTACATTCATTAGTGCTCAGTGCTTCTTCAAGATGAATGTAGAAATCAGATTTCTGTGCCAGTACTCCAAGGTTTACTACCTTTGACTAGACCATGAAAATATAAGAGAGTATATATGAATATGCATGTAAAAAAAGATGTAAAAAATCCCATATTTTTACGTCACAAGTAGATTCTTCTCCTACTGACAGGATAAAAGACTTTCAGAAAGAAAGCATAAATGTAAATGCATTAAAACTGGTACTTTAGCAAGATTTCACTCAGCACTAGAGAGCATTAAGATTTCCTTGTCGAATACACTAGGCAAGTACTATTATATTGATTCTTGTTTTTACCTGTGTATCATTTTCTTCCTCTGGAGCAACATATCGGGGTATGAGACCAGGAACTGTTGGGATGAAGAAAGGGGCTGACTTGGGAACTTTTGGTGGCTCTCTTGGTTTATTTTTTTTCTGTTAATTAGATATGTAAATTAAAATCATTATCATAGTAAAAACAAATGGTAATTTTGTCAAGAGTTTGATTTTGAAATACTATGAAAATTTTAATGACTAAACTGGATAGTAAATACATAGGTAACGTGTTTTGCCTCTAAACATGAAGCTACTATTTAGAAGAAAAACAGCCTGTCCCCCAAAATCCCAGAAATTGGTGAAAAGCACCGTACAGTCTTCTACTGCAAAATCTTGAAAAATACCTGAAAAGTGGCATCCAATTTTGTGATTAGGTAAATGCAGCTAATGGAAAAAGGGCAGTATCTGGCTGTGTACCACTTTTTGCTCATTCCCTCTTTTTCTGCATATGGGAATGCCCAAAAGTGATGTGGAGGCATAACCTAGAATAGCTTTAGAGGCAGTTACTAGTCACACACACATGCAAGTATAGGCCTTCAGTCAGCTACTCTGCATGTGGTGGACAGAAATAGCAAAAGTTATAGAACAGTTCCTTCTTCTCAGCATTTCTTGAGCATCCAGGAGAATGGTTAAGACAACTGCCTAGTTTACATTAGAGGAGAAATAGCCCTTATTTTAGCTCCTCTTCATAGAATCACTAGGTTGGAA